AAGAATCCATTACAGAAATAAAGAAAACTTAAACCTGCTTCTTTGTTTGTGAATGAAGAAAGAGAAAAAAAAATGCCCAGATTTTCAATTTCTCAGACTTGATTAAAGCAATAAAATGGATATAATTAAAAAAGAAAAACCACAATTTTGGTCGATGGCATGAAAATAGAAGCAAGGTGGGGAGAGAAGAAGAGAAAAGAAAAAAAGGGAAAAAAAAAAAATGAGCAAACCAGTCATCGCATCTCACTTATCAGAATTGAAGTTAGGAAAATAAAATTATTTTACACACTGACAAAAAAGGAAAAAAAAAGAATGCTCATATCGATATTATATTGAAAAGGGTATATTTTTATAAACAAATCACATTTAATTCCAACAACCTTCCTTATCCAGTGCACAGCAGGAATATCTCCCACATAATGGTAAGACATTAGTGGCAATGGTGTCTTCATCTAGCTAATATCTTACTATTATGTGGGACATATATGTGGGCAATATTTCTGCCATACCCTGTATCAGCAGAAAGATAGGTTACTAGGGCTGAATGTGATTTTTGTCTGAATTTCTGGGATGAGGAGTTATCGTTATTTAAACTATTCATATTCATATTATTGTCCTCATCTTTGTTGTTTTTATCACAATGTTTCAGGCATTGTGCCCTCCGGCTTTCCTCAGGTATATATCAATCTGGTTAACCTACAAGGAATTCTGAACTAAACCCTTTATTTAATCCATGAATGTAGACTGTTCTTTATTTAATCCATGAGTGTAGACATAGTGGTTGATAGTTCAATCCCTGGGTTGTGCAGTGTGTACTTGCACTCAGTGATAAATAAAAATAGAACTAGACAATATCCTTAGACATAAACAGTGGAATGAGAACTGTCTAACCCTGTAGATTAAATAAGGGATTCAGTTTGAAATTCCCCATAAGTTTTCCAGATCAATATGCAACAGAGGAAGGCTGGAGTGCAACACATCCAAAACATTGTTATAAAAACAACAAAGATGAGGATAATAGTCCAAATATAAATAGTGTAAATAATGAATCTAATTTGTTTAGCAAAATTATACCCATCTCAATTTATTACCAATATGCACAAATTTTTTTCGTGTTTTTTTTTAGTCAGAGTGCAAAATAATTTTATTTTCCTTGATAGAGCTCTGATGAGTGAGGTGTGATGACCTGTTAATTCATTTTGCCTTTTTTTCTCTTTTGTTTTTTATTCTTTTTTCTTTTCCTTGCTTCTACGTTCATACCAATATCTATCGTAGTTGTGTTTTTTTTCTCCCTTTTTGTCTCTTTTAATTATATCTGCTTTTATTGCTTTCATAAAATTTTATACCTCTAATGAGATCTCTAACTTGAGTCAATTACTGTGAAAGTTTTCAAAAGTAAAGTATTTAATTGCAGTTGAGATTCTGTGTTATTTTAGGAAATGACACTTAGAATTAAATTAAGTCTAGAATTGTCTTGGAAAAAATTTTCTAATTACTTTTGCTTCTTTAGTAAATGGCTTCCCTTTTATTTTTATTTATTTCTTGTTACCCTGAGAATTCTTTTAAAAATGACATCAAAGAAAAGACTCTCTTCATGTGCAGTTTAAAAAGTGAATATAAGTGTATGAATAAAATTACACAATTTTCTCCCTCACTTTTATCTTCCCTCTCTGCTCTTTGCAAAGAAGCTGTAATTATGTGGAAAGAGAAAAAAGAGCATAGACATTGTGTTGAATTGTGGAGAAAAGTGAAGCATAATAGAATCAAAATAGAAACAGATGAGATATCCTGGTCATGATAAACACTTTGAGTCACACTTCAAGCCTGATCATACTAAGCTGAAGATATCCATGAACATATATCAATATATATCTGAGCATTGCAATGTCTGTCACCAAACATAAACAATAATGAACCTAATGATGAAGTAAAGAAAGCTATAAAAAAACCTAAAGAATAATAAAGTACCCTCTACCAGAATATAAAAACAAGTTTCTAAAATTCATGAAGGAAATATGAGATCAGAAAGTTGGATGTATTACTCATTAATGCATGATAGAAACAAAAAGATATTCCTCATGACCCTTACACATTGTATGTGTAAGGTATCTCAATCAGAGGTATCTCAATTAGATAAATTATGGTGAAAGTACTTATGAACATTGTAGACACACTGACCAAGAAGTCAATGAATACCAAATGTTTCAGAAAAATTGGACCAAAGCATGGACAAATGGTACACATATAGATATGTAAGATAAATTCTGGAGAACACAGTGAACCAATTTCTTAGCAATCTTTCCACTTCATGTCAGCTGAGAATGTTAGCCCAAAAAGGCACAAGTCACTCTCCTAAAGTTTAGCATAAGCCATGCAGATGGGAGGCAGAAAGGGATCTCTCAGATGATTAATAGAGAGAAGCATTAAAATTAACATGTTTATCCTTGCCCCAGTTAACAACAGACTGTAGGTCATTTTTTAAATCAGTTGCCAATTTGGCCATATTGAACTAATCAAACCTACTGCCAAGACAGGAGTAAATAGGGTAATTTCAGGGTTTCTGTTGGGGGATCTTTCACTTTATCTTGTTTTTTTATTTATAGAATTTGGAGCCTATCATGAGTGTAAAAAGAAAACGCCTGTATAAAAATAATCCATGCAAAATGTCTGTGTACTAATATGGAAAAGAAAGAATATTTTCAATAATATATGCATATTATTTGGAATGCATCTTTTGAGTCGGACAATCTTGGAAAAGGGAAGAATGGTATTCTGACATATGGTGAAAAGGATGCATTGAGCAAAAATGGTTGAGAAATATTGAGCTCAATAGACTATATACTCAAATCATATATTAAATTTTTTTTTTAAATTTAATTTAAAATTCTCAGCATCCCATCTCCTTCATGTACAAGTGTAGTTGCATCAATATAAATATCACTTTAATTCTAAAGGAGAAAATGTATCACACAAAAACTTTCTCTATTTTGTCATATATTTTCTTAAAAATAAGTAGTTGTATATTTGAATTGAATGTACAAAAAAACTGGAAAATACAATTAAGAATTAAACAGACAGTCCTTGTCAGTTGAATTTAGCAAAAAGAGTGCTAAGCTGTTAATATCTACTTTCCTATATGGGAGTGAATGTTAGGCAATTTCCTTGTCGATGAAGAATAGACAGACTTCAGGCAACAGAGAAGTAGTTCTACTGACAAATGCTGGCTACAGCTGTGAGTAATGAGAAAATTTGAAAGCAAATAGGAATTACAAAGAAACCAATACTTACAATCAGATAGAGACAGCTGAAAGAAAGTTTATTGAACTTAACAAGGTAAGAGAAGTGAAAGAAACAGTGAATAACCTACTTGCATGAATGGATGGCAGAACAAATAGAGATGGCAAAGTATCAAATGTTACTTAGAGCAACAAAAGATGTGGAGAGTCATGATCACATATATCTTGAAAGCACATTGCAAGAGAAAGACATAGATTGAAAAACTTATATTTCCTGTATGCTGAATTAAGATATACTGTGATGCTACCATGATATGTGGTTGGATATTCAGCTTTAGGTTTGTGCTTCTACTACAAGCTTTGTATGACTGGTGATTACCATAGTAGCTTGAAAGATGTTTGACAACCATTGTCATTGTTCAGAAGTGGATCAAGTCAGTTGCACATTGTGGTATTCTGAACACTCGTCAATCTCATTTGTAACATATTTTCTTCTACTAATTTCCCTTTGACTTTCTATTGATAATCTCCCTTTTCTATCACTCTCCTGATGTAAAATGTAAACTAATGTCCTGATCTTTGTTGTTACCACATTTCATCTATTGTGTCTTCCAGCCTTCTTCAAAAGTTTGTCAGCCTTAGTATTCATCAGGGAATTTCTACAGAGGTAGATTGTGGATATCCCTTGCCATAAACAGCCGAATAAGAAAAATGTACCCTTGTAAATAAAATAAAGAGTTTACTCCAAAATTCCTTGATAGTTACCTAAATTGACAGACACATGAAGACAGGGCTGGCATGTGCTACCCTTGATTAGGGGCCCTAGGCAGTGCTTTTTGACCGTTACTATCTTATCAACATTTGATTTTTTTCAACGCACATTTATTTGCTTTGCTCATGCTGTCTCAAAAAACACTATATAAAATTCATTATTTTTTATCCATAATCTTGAATGTCTTACATGAAAACTCTCAAGTGGATGTTAAAATATGCTGCAAAACATTGTTGATTTATTTAAGATGCAATGACCTATTATGACGTCTCTAATTTGTATTTAGATACATTGTATTTATTTAAAATTTTTCTAGTTGAATTGCTCACCTATATTGTATATAATCCATTATTGTACATAATTAGGTTAGAATAAAATTTGTATTTTATATGAATATTACCTTATGAAAATTGAGATGTAGTACAGTGGGAAGGGGCATATCATAGATTGAAGAAGGTCAGAGGGCACAATGCTGAAAAAATTGTGATAATAACAAGAGTGATGATATTAGTCTGACTGTAAATAATGTTAATAAGACCTGTTATTTGCATAAAAAAAGACACAATGAGTCCATTAATCATATTGAAATTTTTCCTTTATTAACAATTTAAAAGAATTAAATTTCCCAAACAAAGAAAGGTTTGATTGATTGATTGATTTTTTACATCTTATCAACCTTTTGCCAGTTATTTAAAGTGAGAAAATATTTTTAGATTTTTTTTTTAATTATAAAGATGCAAGGGGTTATTAAGTGTTCAAGAATATGAGAAAAATATACTATTAGGAAGAGAGAATAATAAAAGAACGGGAATTAAAAAGACAGAAGATAACAACTGAAATTTTTTCAATTTTTTGACTGGAAAAAAAGCAATTGGAAGAGTTCCACAAGTGAGAAGTATGAGAAAAGAAACTTTTCCCAACTGGAAGTGGAACTTGGCTCTCTTATTTCCAATTCCGAGCCAATATTCATTGCACCACCCACACATCCAAACTTACAGCATCTGGTATTCCTAAGTGGTCACCAATCTTGGTACTGACCAGGCTTGACATTGCTTAACTTTGGTGATCATATGAGAACCAGTTTTCAACATGATATGGCCATAATCCAATAAAGAAGGGTCATTTTCCTTCAAAGCACATAATAAAAAGACATATGAAAAATATATTTCCCTACAAAAATGTATACTGAATTTTGACTGATTTTACCTTTTAATTTCTCCAATAATATTCCTTTTTGTTTTAATCATTTCACCCCAACCAAGGCAAGTATGCCATTAAGACACATGGGATTTAGGGAATGTAAGTGAATGAGAAGGCTTTAATGAGGAAAAAGAATAATATATAAAAGAACAGGATTCAAGAAGATAGAAGATTCAACAGACATTACATTTAATGGCTTTCCCATTGTTTTACAATGGTGATATCAAATAAGAGGTTAAGCAGCTCATATCAGATTTGATGGGACAGAATATAGACTAACCTGTTTGCTTGGGTTCGAAGCTCTGTAGAAGTTGTTGTTTTGGCAGGGATAGCATGAAGGTGATCTGGAAAACCTACAAGAAAAAAATTGTGAATCAAGAGAAGAGCTGAAATTAAGAATATGCAAAAAAAAACTGAACAAAAATTAAATTTTCATGTTTTAAATGAATTTCTTGCAAATCTAAATAAAATGTGACCTTTTTTTCTTTTTTAGTTTCAATAGAAACAGTTTCCATTGCTGCAGATTTCATTTTTTTAATAACTTTTTTCTTTTTTCTGCACAATATAGTAGGATCAGTTGGGCACCAACTCGATTATTATGTTTGGGGCACAGTTGAGCAAGAGACCAACAAAACTCCTTGAAACACCTAAAATGAATTGAAGGCAAGCATTCACTACCTTAAACAAGAAGACTGTCCAGAAGTGATGCAGGAGATTCCAAGGTTGTCTGGAGGTTAAAGCCAATGGAAATTTTATTGAATAAATTTACTCTTTAGTATTTCAAGATATTTTTGTGTAATTTTGGTCAATATATTTGTTAAAATGAGATGTCAGTGTTATTTTCATTTTTGTGTAATTTAGACAATAATTTATCCATCGCACCCTATACTTAAGAGGAGTATCACTCCATGTATTTTTTTATAATCATTTCACCCCAAACAAGGCAATAAAGCCACTAAATCACAAGGGACTAATGAGTGAGAGAATATAAGAAAAATAAAAACATTATTAAAGAGAGAGAACAAGACAGTTTGCCTATGACTGGTGTAAATTGACATAGGGATCTAGGTGCCTATGTGTACTCCAATGGGAAATAAACATATGACATCATTTCTGTAGTTCTGTAGAATTTCTCATGGGATTTATTAAAAATTTCTTATCATTGTTAAAGATTTTTATCAGTTGTACAAATCTTAATAGTTATAAATATATTTAAATATCAAACTAATTTCTCATACATTTATGCCGTCTGTTCACAAAATGTGTCTGTATCTATAATTGTTATTTTTAATGTTGTTGTGAAATTCAGGTTATTGTGATGTTGTTCAATTTAAGCAAGCCCAACAATGATGCGACCTTCCATGGAAGTTTTGTCCATCCTTGCTCTAAAGGTGTACAGGGTGTTTCACAGTTGGTGAAACAAAGCAGAGAAGGGGAGAGCTCAAGGAGTGTGAGGACCTTGATGAGGAGAAATAGTGGTTCCAACAGGATGGTGCTCCTTCTCACACTGTTAATGTTACCACAGCATGGCTCCACATAAAGTTTGGGTAGTGTCTCATCAGCCACAAAGCTGAAGTAAAATCAGCACTTCATTTGCCTGACCTTAACATCCCCCCCCCAGATTTCTTCCTCTGGGGATTCATCAAGGACAACATCTACCAGGGCAACACTCACACCATTGCTACATTGAAGGCAACCATCACTGAGAAGATTCGAGCAATCATCTAGGAGGAATGTGCACGCAATATCAACAACTTTGCATTCAACAGTGATTTCAACTGAACAAGGACATCTGGAGCATGTACTCTAAGATTCCTCTTGACATTTTTGGTTCATGTTTGAGACTAAATGGTTGCCGATCATAAAATGTTATCCTTTTCCCTTTCAATAAATTTAATTTCTTTTACTCTATCATTTGTGGTCCTTGATTTGTGCCCGATCTTTTTGTTTCAAACCTTGTGAAACAACATGTATATGTAAATTATCTTTTTAATTTATAATAAAAAAGAAATGTAAATTATATCAAAAATTTATAAAGAGATGAATAAAATAATAATGATAAACAGGTACCTCTACTTAGTTTCGATACCTAAGGTTTAAAATGAATTTTTAAAAATGAAAATCATTCTTAAAGCTTTCATTTTAGCTTTAATTGAAAGCTAGATGAATAAATTTACTATTTCCAGTAAGCAAAATACTCTGGTTTATTTCAAATAGAAATTATACTGATTTGGTCGCTTTCAGGCAATCAGCACTTCTTGACACATTTTTGTAAACAAAAGTTAATTCTTGCTTTTAAAAATCTTCCAAAAATAAAATGTACTTTTCTGAAACTTTATTTGAAGAATATTAGTTGATTTAAAGTAGAATTAAACTGTTTTGAAAAAAAAAAATTATTTACTTTAAGTTTAAAATAAGAGAAATTAATTTTTAAAACAAACGGTAGCAGTGATTACGCACTTGTTGCCGCCGCTTGTCACTCATAGATCACTTAACAAGTGATAAAATGTCAACACCCTTATAGTTGTTCTACAGAGACTTTATAAAACATAATTTAAGAAAATGACGAGTAAGCGCCTTTTTTGAATAATTTTTAAGTACTCAGTAATCTTAAAAATGTTAGAAAATATTCTGCATAATCTAATTTTAGGAATGTTGAATTTAAATTTACTATAGTCACGCACTTATTTTCTGATTATGTCGTGTATGGTCGACCATACTTTCAAACATAGCACGTTAGGTAATATTTTATTATCCATAAAAAAATTTAAAATTATTTTAAGCTTTTCAATTTTCGATTAAAAATATAGTTTTTTTTTTCACTTAATAACAATATCACCTAACTGGCTGAAAGTAATGCAGAATTTTTAAAAGATTTATAAATTATTTAATAATTAAAATTTTTAAACAAATGAAAACAATTCTTGTATTATGCATTATTCATCGATTTTTTTGTTTGTTGTTGTTGTTAATACAATATAGTGGTGTCTAAATTTTAAAAGCAATTAAAGCTTTTCTAGTTAAATAATGTCATATTGCATTTTTTTTTATGATTCAGGGCAGATTTTCGGTAACTGGGTGTCCTTTTTTTTTTTTAAAAAAAAAAAACAAAAAAAAAAATAAAAACTGATGATTTCTCCAAGGAGTTCTGCTTTTAGACTAAAAAAACAAATTTTGAGACTGAAATTTAATTTCTCGAAATTTCATCAAATTAACTGTAAATTGGGGAGTTAGTAAAAATAATTTTACCAAGATTTTCTGAAAAAAAATAAATAAATTCTAAAAAATTTAATTCGTTTGTGAATAAGTCGTGAAAGTTTAATTAGAATTCGACAATTATTTGATTTTTGCAAGAATTTCCAAATGAATATGTTTTTTCACCAGAAAAAAGCGCAAAAACACTAATAAAAATATTACCTCGACCGCAGACGCAAAATAAATAAAAAAACCCCACAAAAAAACAAGATATTTAACCAAAATTTGAAAAATTTAATAAGATAATAAAAAAATACTTTGTCCTTTCCCCTTGAAGAGGAAAGAACAAAGTATTTATTTATTTATTTTTTTAAGAGTCTTAAAACATTTTTTGACGATAAAACTTTGTTTTTAAGTTTGGGGCCTTTTTTTCATCATATGCTGTTTCTTTTTTCAGCGAAAAAGTGGAGGCACCACTTTCTTTAGAGAGGAAGAGCATTTACAAATAATAATAAAAAGAAAGCCAGACAGACAGTAAATAAAAAATTGACTTGAATAAATTTGATATGTAAAACTTCGTATATGAGGCCCAGGAATGATGTGCCGCCAAAAGCCTGACGGCTTATGAAAAAGACACGTGTAAAATTTAGAATGATTATCGCTTATGAACAGGATCCCCTTTCATTCCCCTCCCCAAATGCTTCCCTATTGTTTTTAGGCGTGTACCCCATTTACTTGTAGTTCCCCACGCCGCCAAATAATGATGATCATGAATTCTGAATTCTGCACCATATGGAGCAACAATAAAAAATCTATTAAGAAAAATTATAGCAGAAAAAAAGAAAGAAAGAAAGAAAGAAAATGTAAGAAAATATGATTCTAAGAAGAACCAAAAAATGAATCCATTTTCACTCACTGTTCGATCTTCTCAATCTTCTAGAACCAACATCACTGTCAGTGTCATATTGTAATTCTTTTTTCTTTTCTCTTTGCTTAACTAGCTCACTTGTGCGAAATATAAATGGCTGCACATTTGTACTTTCTTTCACTTTCCTTTTTTTCATTAAATCCTTCTGAAATTGTTTGTATAAAGCATCGTAATCTGGCACTGTAGAGTGGATCTTTGGATTATGCTTCTTCTCTGTTTCTCTGGCTTTGGACTTTAATTTCTGTTCCATTAGTTTCTGTCGGAAATCCATACCCTTCGGTATAGAAGAACTTCTCAAGAGTTCAAATGATCGTATCTTTCTTTTCATTTCTCGCAGATTAGCATCATCTATTAGCTTTTCGTCAATGGTAGAATCTAAAATATGTTTTGGAATTGGGTTGGCTTTAAACGTTTTTTTCTTTGTCTCCTCTTGCTCCGACTGAACATGATGTCTATGCTCATTAAATTTCTCTTTCTCTTCCCAAGCAAAACTGAAAGGCTTCTCTTGTGACTGAAGGAATTCTTTGGTCTGTTCCTTCACCCGTGACCGTCGTAAATCGTCCATTTTTTGTATTCCTTCATAAAGTGGCATGAAGACGTGGTCAGGAACTGGTGAGGCTTTGAACATTTTACTGCATTCATCTTCTTCAAGTTTCCTCTTTTCTTCACACTCTTTCTCATATTCTAAGAGAGTTCTGCTTTTCTTTTTCTTCTGATTCATTTCTTCTCGTTTTGTCATATTAAATGGTTCAGGGATGGTTAACCGATGATGCCAACTGCCATCATCATAAACATCATCTTCATTGTATCCATACTGTAATTCCGTATTAACATCAGAAAAATGTTCAGAATTAGACTTGTCTGAAAGACCTGTTTCTAAAACATTGTTTTCTGAATTAGAAACCGATATCTTTGATTCATCGTGTACTGATCTTGTTGGGTACATTAAATCTTTCCAACTTTCTTCCTCCAGACTTTGATAGCAATAACTTGGGTGTTGATTATTATAATGAGTATTTTTGGGAGGCAAGGGCTTCTTTTCGATATTTAGCTTTACTGTCTTCTTCTTACTCATAGAACTTGAAGATTTAGATTCTCGAAGAGTTGGCTTTTTTCTGGGGAAATTACTATAAGTATCTCCAGGAACTCTTGATCCGCAATGTATATTCTCGATTGGATCTTGTTCATCATACTCAATGTCCACTTTATGCACAGGATACTGATCACATCTAGACGAAGATGCCAATTTTGTCGCTGATCTGTTATTCTTCCCTAGGTTTTCCTCGTATAGCCTTTGCCAAGTATCCAGAGTTTTTTTGTGGGCCATTCTAAGCTGGCTGAGTTTTTCCAGAAAACCCTCCTGGTAGAAATTCTGCTGATCATACAGAAAATCTTCAAAATTATTCGTAGTCTCTACGTCCTTGTAAGAAGTTAAAAATTGGGAGTGTTGTCTTTCAAGATTAATCTCTTCATCAGTAACATCCTCCTTTTTGGGGGATAATATTCCGTTTTCCTTGTCATCGCATCGGTAATCAGATGTGGGGGATAAGACCCTGCTGGGTCGACCCCAGGTAGAGCAGCCAACAGAATTATTCACTCTCTGTTGACTCTGTGAAACCGTTGCTAATGACGCCATGTTAACTATTTGTTTCCTTTTTAGTTACTACTTCACGCAGTTGTTTCCCTGTGATACAAAAAACAACAAATGCCTTCGCTAAGCTTTTTCTTTCTGCTTAGTAACGAACAGCTTTCTGAAACGAAAAATTATTAATAATAACAGCAGCAATTTGGAAATAAAAGAGAACATAAAATTGATTTTTTTATCTCTTTTGACACGTGCCACGTTTATTATTTTTTTAGCTTATCAAATTCAAAATTTACAATTTTTCCCAAACTTTGTTTTTAAAATTATGTCATTTTTTTTAAAAAACACAATGAAAATCCTTTTCAACCGCTAAAAAATTATGAACCGAAAAAACGTAATTTTTTATTTTCTTTCTTTTCATTTTTACAACCAGAAAGTCCTTTTTTGTTTAAAAATTAAAATAATTTTCTTTTGAAGTCAGAGCGAAAAATAAAAAGTTACAAATTGGCCGAAAATGTATAAATTAATAAACAAAATCAAAATAATTAAATCTGACAAATTATTACACGTTAATGATCAATAGGTTTGTGGTTTGACACGTAAATTCAGTCAAATTGATTAGCATTTGATTTGAAATTTTCAGCGTAATGTTCGATCTGTATGATGATTGATTAAAAAATATTCCTCACAGTGCATCGACAAACTAAAAGAAATTATTTTGAAAAATAAATCGTTGAGTAAAAATATGCTTTTTATAATTAGTTTGCGGAAAAATAAATCATAATTAGTTTGCAAACTTTCCTGAATAAAATTAAAAAAAAGAGAAATCTGCAAACTGAAATTGATTATGAACTAAATTATTAGATTTTTTAAAAGTATTCAATAAATACTATAGCGATGTCAAAACTTATGTTTGATACCCCATGAAAAAATGTTAAAAATACTCAACAGTTTATTTTTTCATAGGTTTGATTTGAACATTTGATTGAGTGTCTCTGTCCCATGAAAAATTGTTGTGACTTCTAATGTAAAATTTTTAACGTTTTGCTTTTAATTAAAAAAAAAATAAAACCTTTATAAAATTGGTATCTGGCAAGAGACTTGGTATTAAATATAAAATAAAAAAGAAAACTCTGTTTGTGAATTCGAACCAAAAAGTCAGACAAGACATTTTCATTTCATTTTTTTATCACAACTATGAGGATAAACGTGACAGTTTGTTTTTATACGGGTCACCTATCTGTGACTAAAGGTCGGATGATGAATTCTACTAAAATTGATTGGTACCCTAAACTATTGCCTCTGCTTTTACTTTTCTTAGTCTTGCAATTCCAAAAGAAAAAAAAAACAATAACTTTAGTCTGCAATATTTGACCGGTTATTCAATTTTCTTTTCTTTTTCAGTGATCTCCCTTTAATAAAGTCGCTGGTTTAAAACAAAAATGCCTGGACTCTGTTAAAAAAATGTCAGTGTACATGATGTTTTCGTCTTTATTTATCCGGTCTAGCCAGCGGCTGCATTTTAAATTATGGCAATGTTTTAGCCGCTCTTTTTGTTCAAGTGTGGAGCCACAACATGTTGTTATTACTGGAGGAGGAATGGTAGGAGCAGCAATGGCATGTGCCCTTGGTAAATAAAAATTAGTTTTATTTCCCATTCTTATTGAAATCTTTTTTGTCCCATCTTATTGTTAGATTCGATAACTATTATTAAGGTTTTACCTACATGTTTTAAAGATTAAAGTGAGATAGGTACACGAATTTTTAACGTGAAATGTCTGTTCGGCTATTACGTATTTTGATTTGTTCGTTAGTTTAAAAAAATAACATTTTTTAACTGGTTTAAAACTAAAAGTCAGTCCGCTCCATCTTTTGATGTACATTTTGTACTGTACATTTTACTCGGCTTTTTGGTTGTGTAATATTAGAAAAGAAGACTACACGTTTTGGTTTTAGCATCATAGACCTTTTTAAAGGAGTCCTTAAAATTGTTGAGTCGATCATGTTATATTGCTAAGTAAGTAAACACAGGTGGAAAACTTTTCAATTTCATTGACAGCATTTTGGCTTTTTCTTTAGTCTTTAACTATAATAATTTAAAAAAATTAAAAGCACAATTTCTTTCTTTACTAAGTTGTTTTCAATAGATATTTTATTATTCAAACTTCTATTCTGACACATGATTTATTTGTTTTTTTTTATTCGTAAAAGAAAATTCATTGTGAAACGTACGGCGGCAGTTTAAGCTGCTGTGGTTTTACTACAGAGTCGATTAAACACTGAGTTTTGCAATTTTATATCTAAATTTTATCTTAGCAAGTTTTAACATTCAATCTGTATGTTTTCCAGAAGGAAGAAAGGGACCGTTAGTAGTTAGAGAATAATGTATTGCTGAGAGAATAAAGCTGTAAAATTGTAAATGTTTACAAATAATTTGTAAAAATCTATAAATGATTTTACTATAACTATATATATCAAAAAACATAACAAATCTATAAATAATTTTACTATACAAATGAGTTGAAAATCAGGAAACTATGGGTTATCAAGAATTAATAATACAAGTGAAGTCTTACTAGAGCCATTATGTGTGTATAATACAAGTTTGCTAGGATAGCTAAGTAATCCCTTATGCAGACGCCTGCTCAGACACATCTGTGTTTCATGTATGTCTACAGAGCCAACCTGTTTATACTGCAACTAATGTTGAACCAACTTTAGATATTGTTATTGGGATAGAGTGCATAACAAAGCATATCTTTGGTAATTTTAATGTTCACCACAACACGTGATTGAAATATTTTAAAGGTACTGATGTTGCCAGTGTTCAGACATTAAATTTTTCCATTGCCCAATCTCTCACTCAAATTGTGCACTTCCCTACTCGTTTCCCTAACCAAACCAAGTAACAAGCTTCTCTACTGGATCTTACCTCTTCTCCTTGTTCTTGCCAAGATTCATAATACTGCCCTCTTGGTAACTCTGACCACTCTGTGGTAGCTACTGATATCTCCTTCCAAGCATCCATTAAACAAGACCTCCCACTCATCCATAAAACCTCTTTCCGTTACCAGCATGCTGATTGGGACTCAATCCAGGATTTTCTTTGTGACACCTTCAACCTTCTAATTGAAAATTGCACCACTGGACACTTTCATCCCTTCTTGGAAATACCAGGTGAAACTGCAATCCTCTCCATGATTCACACCAGGTATGCTCAGCCACTATAGCACACAGGAACCACTGTTTTCAGTTATTACCAGCGTGACTGTTTTCATCATAAGGCCTATTTGCTACTACTGATTGTAACAAATGTAAGCGAGCTCTTGAAGTAGCTAAGTCCCTGTTTGCTGAGAGAATGAGGTACTGCATAGCCTCTAAAAACTTTGGCTCTCCTGACTACTGGTGTCTCTGCAATAGGGTACTAAATAAGTACAAGGTCTCTATTCCCCACTCTTTAATCGATTTGAGGTGTTATCATTCTCTGCTGATAAAGCTGAATACTTTGCCCATAAATTCCACTCTTGACTCATCTGGAATATCCCTGTCTAACTTCCCACTTAGAACTGATTCTCTGTTAAGTGATATGCATGTAACCCCTTCCATAGTTTCTGCTATCATTCTCTAACCTTGATCCCTACAAAGCATGTGAACCTGATAGTAACCCCGTAATATTCATTAAGAAGTGTGAGTCCCAAACTAGGTTCTTTTCTCTCCAAACTGTATAATAAATGCCTTGATGCCTCCTTACCTACTGGAAATCATCATCTGTTGTTCTAGTTTTTAAGAACTCTGGTGAACTGTCTGACTCATCCTACTATTGGCCTATTAACTTTCTACCTCTTTTTGGGAAACTTTGAGAGGCCAGAATCAATGCTGAATTAGTTCATCATCTCTCATTGCAGGACTTTTAATCAGATAAGCAATATAGCTTTAGTTTTTCAGGTCAATTACTGATGTACTAATGATCATTGTAATGATAGGTTGATCAGTCTGACAAAGTCAAAATGGCAGCTGATGTCTAAAACAACCTCAACTGGGGCAAAAGATGGCCTGTCAATTTTAATGCCTCCAAAAATAAACTTCTCTCCATTAAACGTGTGAGAGACCCTTCTCTGCCTTCCATCAGCATGGCTGATGCTATCCTCCAGGGAAGTGACTCATTTTGCCTTCTTGAATTAACATTCTCAGCTGACATGAAGTGGAAAGACTATATTGAATCCATTGCTAAGAAAGTTGGTTCACTGTGCTGGGCAAGAGAATTTTTCTCTCTGGAATCTATCTTGTCTACCATTTGTCCATGCTTAGAATATTGCTGTCATATATGGTCTGGTGCTCTTGCTATTTACCTGGAGCTCCTTGATAAGAACCAAAAAAGAATCTGCAATATTATTGGTCCTAATCTGGCGGCTTGGATTCTATCACTTACCCAATGCCATAAGGGCGCCCCTGTGCCTTTTTTTATAAATACTTTCATACTAATTGTTCGGACGAATTTTTTGCTATGGTACCTAGACTGTGTGAATTTAAGCTAGGTACCTCCACGAAATCGCTAAAAAAAGAGCATAGCTTGATGAAAAAGATGCCAAACTTGCCGAAAACTAAATTTTATTGTCTAAATGCTTATGTTATTATTAAGAGGAAAGACCAAAGTTTTTTTTTAATTATTTTTAAAAAATTTCCTTCTTTTTAGAACATTCTAAATTTTGATTAAAAAAACCTTTTTTCTATTTGTATCAGCGGAACTAGTAAATAACATAGACAATTTTTAGCACGTTTTTTTTGGTATGACACACATTAATTTGAAAAATCATGCAAAAATAGAAATAATTATCGGATGTTAATGAAACTTTCAGGAACTATTCACAGATGATCGAAATTATTATAAATATGTTTTTTTTTATGAAAGTCATGGTAGAAATATTTTTTAAAAATATTTATTACCCCCATAACTAATTTTATGAAAACGCTAGAAATTGATCGCATCGGTTTTAGTGATTACAATAATTAAAAAGCACAGGGCTTTGAGGAATGCAAATCATGTTTTTTTTGTTTTTAATTGGAAACCCAGTACCTGAAAATCAGCTCTGAATTGTAACATACAAAATTCAATAAAACAAATATATTATTTAATTTCAAATGCTTTTATTTGCTTTTAGTTGTTTTTATGAATATGGACAATATTTTCTGAAAGCAAAAAAAAATTTTTTCGATGAAAAATGAATTTTTAATACAATTATTTGTTATTTCTTTAATTATAATAGATTTTACATTTAAGTTGTTAAAATATTATAAAATTAGTTAAAAGCCACATCGGCTTTCATAAGTGTCCTTATGAGATAGATCTTTTTTTAGCGCGTTGTAAATTGTATCATTTTGACTAATCAGAAGATCCCCAGTAATTAAGAAATATAATTTTGTGCTTATAATCGAGCTGTAATTATAAAATACGGAAGACCAATCAGAAGTTGCGTTATTTGAGTTAAGCATTGTTCTCCGCTGTTAAGGCCTTTACTTTTGCGAAACACGTGTGGAGAAGTTAATTTGATTTTTCAATTTCAACTGAGAAGGGTACCTACAAGTATCAGTATCATCTTATGAAATTTATATGATCTTATTTTTATATTAATCTCAGTTACGACATTTTTCCATAAATGAAATATCAAAATTAATAATAAAATGAATGTAAATACAAATAACAGTAGAATGTAATAAATGTACATAAAATTATAGTATTTTATGTACAATTCTGATAAAATTTCATAAGAAAGGTACCTATAAATTAATTAGATACCTTTCTTAAGAAATATGAAATTTAATGTCACTCTTAACAGTTTTATTTTAATTTCTTTACAATATATTTCCCATAAAGCATCATAAACGTAAAGGTGAAAGCTAAGTAAAAAAAAAAAAAAAAAAAAAATTAGACCGCTGAAAGTTTTTCGTTAAAAATAACGGGGTAAATAATTTGTTCACGTAAATGTAAATTATTTCACTTTTTTCTCCTTTCGTAAAACAAATTAGCCTCATGGAATAAGTAAATATATCATTCATCACATGTCAAGAGACGCGAAAGTTTATGACCTGCTTTGTTTTATTTTCAAATTACATCTTTTTGGCACAAAAGCTAAGTTAAGTTTGGTTCAAAATATTTTAAATAAACATTATAATTTCTGATTTTCTTAAAATAAGTTTTGAAAAAATGATAATTGATATTTTAAAAAATTTCAAAGTCAGATTTCCATTTTTTTTTTAAAATGGAAAAAAATGGTCAATTTTGCTGACTCAAAAAAAACTAGATTTTTAACGAAAATTTCGGACGTGCTAGGAACGATTAAAAATGGAAAAAATACCCTAAAAATACTTTGACCTTTCCTCTTAATAATAACAAACATTTAGACGATAAATTTTTTGTTTTCGTCAAGTTTGGCGTCTTTTTCATCATGCTATGCTCTTTTTTAGTGATCTCGTGGAGGTACCTATTTTAACAGGAAGATGTTCATTGCCTTTTGCAAAAAAGTCTTCTGATTAACCTGGTTTTGCCCTGATAAAGATCATTTAAACGCAAGTGTGTCAATTCAAAATGCCAGTTACTCAATGTTCAATTTCTTTAATTTATAATGAAAATGT